CTCCCCATGTGTGTATAGAAATACACACATGGGGAGCAAGGAGACAACGGAGCAACAAAACAACAACAAGAAACCAGCACTAAGTGAAGGCTCTGCTGTTCTTTAAAGCCCAGCACTCTGATGACACTGATGAGCTCCACCTGTGTAGACTACCAGGGGTTGGTTTCACGAAGCAGGTTTACTTAAAACTCTACATTGTCTAAAGGGTAACTCTGACTTTTCCAGTTCACAAAGAGAGTTTCCTAAACCTCTGTTTCAGTCACCGTATTAACGTTCTCCCCAGAGCTCACCTGGTCGGTAGCAGTTTTTCTTCAGTAAACTTGGAGTGTCCTGATGACTCCGCTCTCCTAGTCCGTTAATTTTATTTCCTGATTTTGTCAGATTTTTGTTGAACTTTTTTGCATTGAAAATAATTATATATATATATCACTAGGTCCGTTACACATATTAGGTTTAAAAAAAAAAATATTGAATGTCTGTTTCACGAGGATCTTATTAAAGAATTTTCCACAGACAATTCAATATTTATAGGGAGAGAGGATTCTACAATTCTGTTGACAGGGCATGAGATTATTGTTTTAGGTTTGTTTAATATGAGCAAGATGTCGATCATTATATTTACAGTACATGAAGAACTATTGAAATTAATTTCAGATTACACATAAAAAGATAAATAAATTCTGCGAAAGGATTTAAAGGAATTACTTTAGGTTTAGGATAAGGATTCACTCGGTGATAACCTACTGAGCCTACTTGCACAATCTGAAGCCATTATATGGGACTGATAACCACTAATAACTATCATGCACATGCATGCTTATTACTATCATGTATTTGTGCTTGCATGAATCACCTGGTGCCGCACCAACCACCTGGAGCTCAACATCTCCAAGGCGAAGGAGCTGGTCATTGACTTTGACTTTATTGTTCCTCACATAATCATGCTGTACAACTCCGCACTTGGCGAAAGGAGGAGGTGAAAGGAAGAGGGACAAGGGGCCGCAGCACAGATGTAATCTGAAAACTGTAATCTGTTTCCGTGCGTCATCCAGATTACATATTACATAAATATTCAAGGTAAGAAGGAAGTAAATTGAAAAGTATACCAAGTTAAGACAAATTATTTCACTTCATAACACAAATATGAAACATACATACATTTTATTTCAAATTCAAATCATGTACATTTTATGCAGTTGATGAAACCCCTACAGCATAAAATAACATATTTAAAATGAATTGAGAACATTGACACATTTATATAATTATTTTTTATTAGTCTCTGCATTTATGGAATTCCATACGCATTATAATTGACATAGCTTAAGCCTATGTACATAATAAATTTGGGTAGACTGTATGTAATAAATCTCACAGTATGTCCAACTGTGCATAGCACTACTGTTCTATCTTGGATATTTGTTTAATAACCATGCAGATGTGAGGAGAGTGCACAGTTTAATTTAGAAAGGGTTTTTTTTGTGCTCTGCAGCCTATAGACAACCTTACATGGAAGTGTCTTGGTGGATCCTTGCTTTATCTCCTTTACTTTGAAAACCTCATAGGGAGGGATCAGGACCTCTTTTTCCTCTTCAAATTCGGAGTAACCAGAGATGTCTGCTCCAAAGCAGGTGTATATCTCAAAGCATGATTCAGTACCAAACGTTTTGTCGCTATAGCCACCCGCTGAACTAGAGGTAAAAGCACCAAAGCGAATTTCTTTATTAAGAACATTTTTTTTGAATTTGGAGCCTGTTCGCCGGTAACTAGTGACACATTCTCTTGCACTGTTTTTGAGGGAGCGCAGGGCCATGGTAAGATAGAAGTGAAGTGTGTGATATTGAAAATCAGTTTTGTACTTAGCCCTTTGTGCTCGGACTGCTTTGTTGAATTCTTTATATAATGGTGGATCATTAAGGGTGTAAGCATAAACAGCCATGATTTGGGGTTTTTTTAGCAATGAGGTAGGCCACGATTTACTGTTGTAATATCTTCCTGCTGCAGCCCAGGCATCCAAGAAGTTCTTATTTTTTTGCTCTCTTGGTAAATACTTTTCATTTATAAGCCTCTCCATTTCACTTTCACAGCCATTGTACATGTCATCAACGGATTTTGGAGCCATATTCAGTGCGACTGGAAAACTCAGCCCTGTTTTCAATTTCTGCCAAACCTAATCAGAAAGAAAATAACATATTAGAGATTATAAGTATGTATGTTTGACACTTGTTCTTTTATAGTAATAAAATCATTCCCCAAACAAACCACCATTCACCTTGTCAAACTGGATTTTAATCCCGGTACACGATGCAAATAAGAGGAAGAGTATCCCCCAAGCTGCTGGAGATGCCATTTTAGCCAGTTCTGAAAAAACAAGTAAGAAAGAAAAGCAAAGATTTTGGTTAGAAGCTGTCCTGGATATCTGCATGTTTCACTATTTGAAATAAAATCTTTACTATTTTCACCTGGTACATTTAATCATGAAACTAGTGACTAGCCATGTTTTCATTCAAATGTAACACATTTTTAAGCATTTAAAAAAAAAAAATTATATAAAAAAGAAGCACTGTAGGTTGATGCCCCCAGTAAACAATTTATTGAATCTTTTCTCAGAAAAAGATACTTCTTTTTTTTTCCTTTGCTTTCAACTGGAATAAATTTCATTATCTGTTTTCTCTGTGCATTGCTTTCAGATAACGAGTTCTGTAATGGTACCATATAATAAAGTTAATGGAACTGAAACAGACTTGAGGAGCCTTAACTAATGGAGATCAAAGGTGTCATGTAACAGGATGTGAAAATAAAATTCAAATCTGCTACTTATAATATTCCTTCTGTAATGGTTTACTTACTGCAAACATTTTGGGTTTTTTCGTTTTTTTTTTTTAAGGGGGGGGAAACGAACTTGTAGCATGGTAGTAGCATCAAACAAATCTTCACAACATATATACCTTTTTTTGGAGTATAGATATTAAAGGAGCGGTTATGATAAATGATCAAACAGCATTCTTAAACTCAAGATCAAATAATAACTTAGTGATGATTAATCACATGGGTCAATAATAATGATAATAATAATAATAATAATTAAACCAAATTGATCTCACACTGGATAAATTCACCTTTACATTTAACCCATCCCCTTGAGCAGCAGTGGGCTGCCACTGTGTGGCGCCCAGGGAGCAATGTGGAGTTAAGGGTCTTGCTCAGGGACCCAGAGTGGAGGCAGTGATCGAACCGGGTACTTGCAACCTTCTCAGAGCACAAGCACACTGCTCTAACCACCTGGCCAACACTGCCCCTGAAGTTATAGATATTACAGAGTTTTTTTTTCCCGTTGATAATACTATTATATTTCAGCGTTTAATTTGTTATCTTGGTAAGACTACTAGGCTTTTCTTTTTCTTATTTACATACATGTTTCATATTCTGGCATTTAAGAGAACAAAAAAGATCCATACCTGAAGGTGTCTGAAGAGCTGACCAAGAGAAAACTATTATTGAATATTAATCAGAGTTGGCTCAAAAGAGGAAAAGTGACAAAAATGTTGAAAAAGTACAATGGAACAACTTTTCCTCCAGACAGCTACAGTATTACGCTGTTTTTATACATACAGAAAAAGGAGGAGCTCACAATCCAACACATCACAGGATGATGATGGTTTCCCCAGAACAACAGAATCTTACATCTCTTATAATTAGAGGAAGATATTATCTCTTTGCTTAACAATTTCAGCAACACGTACAAAACATTTTTCCTTTTTTTTTTTTTTTACTGCATTGTAGGTTGCAGCTTCCCTTTACTTGCAAACCCTAGTCTGTCATGCAATGTGCGGAATTTATGCCTGACAGAGGTCCCATCGCTTGTCACCCTCTGTCCATTACACAATTTATTTTTAGGCATCATTTTGTCAAATTAGAGTTGCCAGGTAAAGCAAACTTTGACAAACAAAATGAAGTGAAACAGTTGTGGGTTACAACATCACACCGAGGAAAGAAGAAAGTTGTGATACCCATCATCTGTTGAACATGTTAATAGAAATTTGTTTTGTTTTTTTCATTTAAATACCCCAAAATCCTGTGAATCCACCAGACACATAAAACACTGGCAGAAAATCAAAAATATGGACACCACACAATGGTTAAGAAAACAAACAACCTTGCTTATTCTACTTTTCTTATATAATCTAAATATATGTGGATTTATCCTGTGTTTTCTTTGAAGATATAGAATTTTGCCGAGGTAAACCCCACTCTTATTTTTAATCTAATATGCTCTCTCTGTATCATGCAAAATAATACATTCAAGGGACGGAAAATAAATGTATTGTATATACATGAGCACTGGAACTATAAGAGGAACTGACATTTAAAATATTAACTTCACTATAAAAGTTTAACATCTGGGCTGTAGTTACTCTGTGTCGCCCATTTCATGTATTTTATCTGGGCTCAAACAATTAATTATATTAATAGATTATTTAAATAACCTTCAACTAATTTAGTAATTGATTAATCATTAACTGGAGTATAGGGCCATTAAAATGTGCCTTTAGCCGACAGAGCGACCCACTTAGAGCAGGAATTATACCAAGATTGTAAAAAAAAAAAATTTAAACATTTTGCATTTAAGATAAAGAAAGTTTTTGGTCTTGTAATATCCTCCATCCAGAACTCCTCAAAAGAAAACGTTTCTGTTTCACCTTCTGTTTAAGTATTAACAGTATTTATTCCAGTCATGTTTAACAAAATTGATACAAGCACAAACTGCAGAGTAAAGTCTCACCATCTATCAGGCCCTTGTAACTTCGGCCATTGAGCGGAGAACATTTTTTAAGATGCATGCAGGGTGTAAGAAAAAAATATAAGCTAGTAAATTCTTTTTTATACAGTAGCAGCAACAATTTAAACTTGCTTTCAACCCTGTTCTTTATTTTATTTCAAGAGTGACAATAAGGATTTCTTTTTCCACAAACTGTTGATCTGTTATTTATGGGTTAAATCAAATATTTTCTCTAGATGTTTATATATGGCAAACTGATATATTGCAGTATTTGGCTTCAGACAAGGTGCCAGAATGCTCAAGAAGGCTTAATTAAAAACCGTTTTTCCCAATTAAATTCTCAAAAATTTGGTCTTGCAGGATTTATCTAATATGATTTATTAGATCAGTGTAATGGTTTTAGGTTTTGTCTGAATTTTTCTCGTCACTAGCTCATTGTGTTGAATTATATAAAGATCATAACAGCAAATGTCAAAGACTCATTTCATGACAAGTTCAGAGTTGCACCTTAGAGGGCTATGTTGATTTTAAAATAAGAACACCAACTTCTGTTTTTGATGTATTTTTCATTGTCTTTGATGTTTGATGTCATATCAGTTTTGTTGTTTAATTGCATATAGATACAGCGCAGCGGCGGCCGGCCCATAGGGGGCACTGGGGCACCGCCCTCCCTGATAAGAAGAGAGAAACGTAAAATATATTTTTAGAAATTAACTCATA